AACACTTTCTAGCCCAGTTGTCTAAGAAGGCATGCACACATGCATGCGCGTATCTGTCTCTGTTTACCCCCATGCTTAACTTTTAAACCCAGTGAAGTTTCAGAGAAATCTGACAGAGGGGAAAAGCTCTCATCTGGATAAGCATCGCTACAGCCACCCCAGGCACCTACAGACACATTATCCCCATTTCTCATGTGTGATGTAATAGTGAGAAGGGCTGCAATGGCAACTCAGCTACATAAGCTTTTATTTGACTGCAAAAAGTTTGTATTAATTTTAGCTGTGTGCTAAATAGGAGCTGTAGCAGGTTAAGACCTTTGTAGACTGACAGAAGGAAAGGGAGTGGGAATTATTGTAACAAAGATGCATTTGGTAAACATTGTAAAGCCCCATCATTTGTACTTCACTAAGCTGGAACATGTTTTTATTTGGATGGTTAGATACTGGCTAATAAGAGTGCTTAGATAAGGTATCTGTGAGGTTGAAGTGTTTTGACACAAAGGCTATTTTAAAGCTATGTTTTAGGTCACTGTTAATGGTGTTGTATGTGTGGAATGACTAGTGAACTGCTAGTTTCTGTCAACTGTTTTTAGTCAGTTAAATACACATATTGTAGTGAAATATGTAGATTTGATGATCTGAGTTATAAAAAGCGTGTTTGAGGAGTAGCCATAGATCTCCCGAAAACTCATTTCACTTTACTTTGCCAAGCCAAGAAAGTTGCGACCCAGAAATGGATTAGAAAGTGCCACCAAGTTTTTGCTTTGGAAGGAGTTTTCTTTTGAGTAGCCGCAATAGTGTGGATAGGCAACAACTTTATCTCTTAATTTCTGCTGAAGTAAACCTTTGGATTTTTTTTGTAACAGTTTGATTATATCTCATCAGACTTGAACCCAATGATGCTAATCGAATCTCGTGTGATCTAACACAGCTGCTTACCCTAGAAATCACTAGAGAAAAAATCCTGGGAAAATCAGTTTTGCTCACAGATCTGCGTGGTCTGCGGAAAGCTTAACAATGAGGAGCCCTCCCAGGCTAGGAAAATAAATATACATACAGTATCAATATTCATGTTATTAAATCAGCAACAGCAGAAGATGTATCCTGAAGGGCTAGGTGGTGTAGCTTTCCTATGAAGTACCTTCAGTAATAGGCTACTTATAATAAGCGATTTCTGAAATTTATTGCAGCCTTGAACATGACATTTACTATAATTGAACTTACAGATGTAAATTATTGTAGCATGTATCATCTGCACATCAGTAATGACCATTACCAATTAGGTACAAACACTTATTTCCAGCATTACTTACAAAGAGCAATTTTAAACTGTCCCTTTAAAAAGCTTCAGTAAAGACCAGGGGTTTTATCCTCAGGTAAAAATCCATTTATTTTCAGGTGCAATCTGACCTATTAATGAACCTTAGTTAAACTATAGCCACAGGCACTGATACAAATAGCTTTTTCCATTCTTAACACAAATACAGTTTCATAAATCAAAGCTACCATGCATTTCTGATTATTATTAAGAAAAAAGATTATTCAAATATATTCTTTGCCTGATTTCTGCCACCCACTCTGTCATACGCTAAGTTTTCATCACTCGCTGTGGTAATTCGAGACTACTTCTCTCATACAGACTACAGCTCTCAAAGGCAGTTCGAACCTTGTGAGAATGTAAACTTTTCCCTTCCATTGATTCCTGACACAACCAGGGGTTCAGTTACTTAGAGCATGGGACCTGCTTTGAGAAGCCTGGTCTGTGGGAGCTGATGGGGGGATCTGTCAGAGAAGGGGAAGAGCATCTTCAGTCATAGACTTGCCAAACTGGTGAAGAGGGATTTAAAGTTACTGGGGTAGGGGAATCTCAATTCATCCCACTCCCTACCAGTTTGATGCCAGTGCTAGCAAGAGGTACCCAGAGCCTGGAAAGGGATCACTTGGTGGGTAAGGAATTGGCTGGATGGTTGCATCCAGGGGGTAGCGGTCAACAGCTCAAGAAATGTCCAAGTGGAGATCAGTGATGAGTGGTATTCCTCAGGGGCTGGTATTGGGACTGGCACTGTTTAGCATCTTTGTTAAGTGACATGGACAGAGAGATCAAGTGCACCCTCAGCAAGTTTGCTGATGACATCAAGCTGTGTGGTGCAGTTAACACACTAGAGAAAAAGGGATGCTATCCAGAGGGACCTGGGCACACTTGCAAGGAGGGTTTGTGCAAACCTGATGAAGTTCTACAAGGTTAAGTGCAAGGTCCTGCAGGAGGGTCAGGGCAATTCCAAGCACAAATACAGGCTGGGTGAAGAATGCATTGAGAGTAGCTCTGAGGAGAAGGACTTGGTGGTGTTGGTTGACAAAAAGCTCAACATGAGCCAGAAGTGTGCACTTACAGCCCAGAAAGCCAACTGTATGCCAGGCTGCATCAATAGAAGCATGGCCAGCAGGTCAAGGGAGGTGATTCTGCCCCTCTGCTCTTGTTCTGATGAGAAGCCCCCCTGCAGTCCTATGTCCAGCTCTGGGGCCCCAACACAAGAGGGATGTGGAGCTGTTAGAGCGAGTCCAGATGAGGCCACAAAGTTGATCACAGGGCTAGAGGACCTCTGCTATGGAGACAGGCTGAGAGAGCAGGGCTTGTTCAGCCTGGAGAAGAGAAGGCTCCAGGGAGACCTTATAGTGGCTTTTCAGTACCTAAAGGAGGTCTACAAAAAAGCTGGAGAGTGACTTTTTACAAGGCCATGTAGTGATAGGACAAAGAAAGAGGAGAGATTTAGATTAAGTGTTAGGAAGAAGTTCTTTACTGTGAGGGCGGTGAGACACTGGCACAGGTTGCCCAGAGAAGCTGTGGCTGCCCCATCCTTGGCAGTGTTTAAGGTCAGGTTGGATGGGGCTTTGGTCAACCTGGTCTAGTGGGAAGTGTCTGTGATCATGGCAGGCTCCCTTCCAACCCAAGTCATTCTGTGATTCTGATTAACAGCTTTTATCACTGTACACACACTAAAAGAAACCCACAACAAATTGCTCCTGTGCATGTGTGTCTCTTGTGCCAGAGACAGCCTGCCCACAAGAAGAAAGATGTGTGTGGGCAGAGGGAGATAGCCCTCTGAGGGATGGAGCCAGCTGAAGCTCTTGCAACAGAAAGAGAAGTGTAGCAGGCAGTGAGGGAGTTACACTTCAGGATTGTATCTTATCAAGTATGTCAGTATATCCCCAGGATGGGCTTTTGTCTGGAGGGGGTGAGATAAGAAGTCTCTTACAGCTGTAAGATTCAATTGATTTTTTTTTTTTTTAGGAGATAAAAGATGCTGATGCTCTTATAATACATGTTTCTGGTTTGTGTAAGGAAGAAGAAATAGAGCAAGAAATATCGTCTCACAAATTCACTGACCCTTTAGCATCTGAATCCATGTATAGCTCACATACAATCACCTAAAAATAACCAAAGGGAACCAAACAAAAAAAAAAAACCAACCCACCCTATGTACAGAGAGGTACATCTTGTACCTCTTTTAAAGAAATATTAGGTTTATTTTGGGGTTTCTTTCCAGAAAAGGCTCTAAGCATGCTTGAATGATAGTTGTTAAATGTTAAGAAATATGGGTAATCATTAAGAGAAGAAAGGAAATACACCAATGGGGTCTCAAAGTTCTTATCCGTACGCTTTTTTGCCTTCAAGAAAATAGCTGAAAATCATTGCATGCAAACATAATAAATAACCAAACATCTTAAGCTTAATGCTTAAGGAGTTGTGTTGTCATAGTGAAGCAGGACTAGAACAGATCTCAAGAGATGCTATGCCACTTCCCCAAGACAGCATTAACAATATCAGTGTCATTTCTGACAGACATTTAGCAGTGTCGTCTTCAAGACTTTTATTGAGAGATGTCATAACTTCCCTTGGCAATCTACTGCAGTACTAATTATCCTGCTTCTTAGAAAGTTTTTCTGAAGTCTTGCCTTGGTCTTCCGTACAGTTAAGCCCATTACCTCTCATCTTGCCACTTCTGGCCATGAAGAACAGATTGCAGTCATGGCCAGCTAACCATCAAGGACACATTCCAGTAAAAAGTAGGTTAGCAGAAGCATTTTTTCCCATAAGAATTAATGCAAGTGGAGAGAAGAGGGGGTGAAATACATGCAGGAACTTAAGGACTACACACAGTTAAAATTCACAGGGAGAAGGATCACTGAGAGGAGAGTGATCAGCAACTGGCTTTTCAGCACTGTTCTGAAATATACCAACTGTACCATCTACGAGACTGGAAGTTCAAGAAAACTCTTGAATTGTAAGCATTTTTGATGTCTCTTTCTGGACAGTTGCATCTTTATCTTCCTTAGATGAATCAAGGTCCATGAACTCAATTGTAGGCAAAGGCCAAAAAAATGGATTAATGATGGTCAGTAGCAGAACTCTTCAGTGGTGGACACGGAAGTGGAGGACAGTGAGGTGTTGTTGTATTCCCTTAATATTTGCTGAGCCCTTTCACCCATACAGAAATGACCATCAATGTTCCCCAGTATTTTCTCTCCTGCAAGCCATTCAATGCCCATTTGCTCTGCTTTTTGTTGCTGTTCATGTCTACAAGTAGTGAAATGTGTTCAGAGAGATGATACGGTCAGTTTTTGTTTTGTGGACCAGCTCGCTTTCTGGAAGGATTAGCTGCCTGAGCTAGCAGGAGAAAGGAAGGATTGAAGCTGCCTCAGCTGATAGTTTAAATTTCTCTGGAGTTATAGTGTTAGTTCTCAAGCACCATCCCACTATACTACATTTTCTAACATTTGAGGATGAGGAAGATCCTAGGTCAATATCATTAAGCTGGAATACCAAAGCTGGGTACCTGAAATTGTGTTTGGGGTCTTAACATTAAATCAACTTAATTTCCCAGGGTTTTGGGCAGTCTTTTGACTCACCATAAGATAGTGATGTTTTAATATTCTATTTAAGAGCCTAAACACAGATTCAATTTGTAAATCCACAAGGCTTTGAAATAAACACACAGAAATGAAACCAAACACAAACCTTTAAGATCAGAACTATGCACATTGTATGATGTGAAACAGGGAGGCAGAGAATGGGATTTTAACTAAATCTAAGATTAATTTATCTATTATAGTCTCAAACTATCAGTTGTTTTCATTTTGATCTAATTATCTCACTAATCTTAATAAATATCAGAAGTTTGATTGAAGAGTGAGGGTAAACAAATGCATGGGAAATGTCTTCTGACTGCAAAAGAGTAAAGGGTGAAGATGGCCATGGGAAGAGGTTAATATGTGTCTGCTAGATCCTTTTGGAATGGACTTCATATTCCCATCACCCCTCTGCGGTAAGAGCAACAGGTTTCCATTGCTTTGGGATGGGATTTTTTTTTTGCTGTGGGATGGTTGTAACTTAAGTGGAGTCAGAGTGAGCTCTCCCTGCGGGATGGCTCTGTGTGTGAGGAACATGTAATCTCTTACGCCTCTGGAACAGAGTGATGGGGTCCCTGACACTGACCAAGCCCTGTACAATGGGTAATAGTTTCCAGAGATAGCTCTGCTTTGCAATCCAACTGCAAAACAGCTGGCACCTGACAACTCTTGGGGCTGCTGCCAGGGGCAGCCTGTGACTGGGAGGTCACAGGCCCCTTCTCCATAGAAAACTCCTCACTGCTGTCCTCTCCCTGAAGGTTTATGGCGTGGGGTGTGGGCTGCACCCAGGCAGTGATGGCAGGAGGGGGTACTGATGACGAAGCAGGTCCTCCCTTCTGGCAGGTGGTGTCATGGTGATAGGAAACCAGCTCATTGCTGAAGTTGACCCTCTCCACAGTGGATCCAGGTGTGCCACAGCAGAAGCACCGGCAGCCTAGGAGATTGCTGAAAGCCCGCCTGAAGTCGGCATTGAAAGCATATATCACTGGGTTCACTGAGGAGTTGGCCCAGCCAAACCACACAAAGACATTGAAGGTGGTTTGGCCAACACATGGTAACTGTCCTTCATGGTCTCTCTTGAGCTCAGGTTGGCAGAAAGGCAGCAGGCAATTGAGCAGAAAGAAGGGCAGCCAGCAGCAAACGAAGACTCCCATTATGATTGAGACAGTCTGCAGCACCTTGGTCTCCTTGCGCAGGGAACTCCGCAGGGAGGAGGTCGGCTCCTTGCCATGAACTGGCCACTGCCCCCCTGCTCTCTCGAGGGTAGAGATACGGCGGATCTGGGCCTGGGCAATTCGATAGATCCTGGTATAGGTGATGATCATGATAGCCACGGGAATATAGAAGCTGATAAGTGAAGAGGTGATGGCATAAGTACGATTCAGGCTGACATCACAGCGGGGTGTCCCAGGCAGCCAGGAGCCTGGATATCTTCCCTCTTTGGCTTTATGCCAGTGTAGCTGCACTGGGATGAAGGAGATGAGGATGGAGAGAGCCCAGGCTGTGGCTATCATGGCACAGGCAAGGCCCTGCGTCATCCTACGCTCATAGCGAAAGGGGCTGGCAATGGCCCAGTACCTGTCCAGACTGATGATGCAGAGGTGGAGGATGGAGGCAGTGGAGCACATGATGTCGAAGGCCACCCAGGTGTCACAAAAGCGGCTGCCAAAGAGCCAGGAGCCGTCAGCCACTTCAGTGACTGCCTTCCAGGGCATCACCAGGAGGGCCACACAGAGGTCCGAAACGGCCAGCGACAGCACGAACCAGTTGGTGACCTTGGCACGCAGGTGTCGGAAGCGCAGCACGGCCAGGCACACCAGCGCGTTGCCCACCAGCGTGCTCAGCACCAGGGCGCCCAGGAGGCACCCGGTGAGGACCTGCAGCGCCTGCGGGCCGCCCCCCTCTGCCGCGTTCCCCATCAGGGGCGCTCCTCCTGTCGCTGCTGCCGGCGCAACGCTCCCCGAGGGGCCGGCGGGACCCCTGGCAGCCGGCGCCGGTCCGTGGTTGGGAGGGCGCCCGCCCGCGGGGGCATCTCCGTCCGCAGCCGCCTGCCTCAGTTCCCCCCGCGAGGGAGGCGGGCTGCCCCGGGGCTACTCACCGCGCCGGTGCGGGGCCGCCCGCCCTCGCCTCGCAGCGGCTCCTTCCGAGGAAGGGACCCTCCCGCTGCGGGGGCAGCGCGGGGCGGGCGGGGGGCGGCGGCGTGCTCGGGGTCCCGCGGCTCTCTGTCCGCAGCGCCGGGATGGACGAGCAGCAACTTTCCGCGTGCCGCGCGCCCAGAGGGAGCAGAGAGGCGAGCCGGCGTTCCGATGGAGCTGGCTGCCAGGGGAGAGTGGCGTGGAAAGGCTCGAGCGACCTTCGTAATGGCACGGAGGGAGACTTCCCTGAGCATCACCCTGGGAAGAGCCTTTTTCTTCTTCAGCGTGCAGGTGCCGAAGTGTTAGGGACGAGCATCTGGCGCTTTCCAAGCATCTCCTTTTGGAGACCACGACCGTATTTCAGGTTTCTTAAAGAGCAGGATAGCGCTTTGCGTCTGCTTACATTGAGAATGATACCAAATCTGGGTATTAGAAGCTGTGTTTTTCACCAAAACAGTATTTTGCTATTTTTGGGGGGTTTTCACCAAAACAGTAGAAACCTAACACATCTATAGTTCTGCATTTTAGCAGACACAAGCGCCCAAAACCTGCCCCTTTATTTTCAGCTAGAGGTGTTTCCGGATGTATTTCCACAGTCTTCTATTTGCTGTTATAATAATATGTGTGTTGTCATATAAATGTCTTGCATATATTTGCAACCTGCTTTCAAAAAAATTATCCTAATGCAAATAGGTTATAAGCCTTTATTTTGGAAGAATTTATCCAGTAATCCTGTCATGAGAAAAAAGATTGGGACCTGAATAGAAAATATCAGCTCATATCATTAATTAAGATACCAAATGGGTACTTGGTTTTAGATGAGGTATTTTATATTTTCTTTTTGCCTCCTAATTAAAACTACTGTTACAATATTCTTGGTAATCAGAATACAGACTGGAAATCTTTAAAACAAATTTTGAACAGCAGAGCCAGCAGCTCAGCCTGTAAAACTCAGCATATTTACAGAAAAACTAACTGGGTTGTTCACGTTCATAACAGATTGTTAACATTTGGTCATGTTTTTTTAAGATTCTAGTTGCTTCGTGCCTTGGAGACCACAGTCTTCATAATGCAGCCCACTGTGTTATTCCTGCTGTGACACTGAAAATTGGAATATGTTTCTTGTTCATGCATTTGTCTATAAGCCTAACAATTCAAACAATTCATCTAGAATCTTCTCTAAGATAATATATATACTTTGTTTAAAGAGTAGTAGCTGATCAAATAGCATAGGCTGTAAGATAACAGCCAGCTCCACAACTTGACTTATTTAGAATCGTTTGTAGTTCCACATACATGGATTTTGCCAACATCTGCAAACCATAGTAGGTCTCTGATTGCCATTCCAATACTAAGGACTAAATCTTAGTTTGCAAGGATTATTTACACACTTGCTAATCTGACTCAATAAATTTACTCTCATTCAACAATCGATCAAATATCCCTGAAGAGCAGAATATAGTTGTGAAGAATTGTAAGGGACAGTACATGGAATTAAGGCAATATAGCATTGAGAAGGAAAGAGCAATGCTTTTGCATATTCAGCAGATAGTAGTGCTTCAGGGCTCTGCAGTGGAAGGGAGCTAGTATTATTCTTATAAAAACAACTGTTTTCAGTGTCTCTGCGTACCTCCAGTTCCCAGGATCTCATTATACTCTATAAATAGCTCCTTTTTAGCATGCATTATAAAGGGGAGCATACGTGATCATGCTGGTTTGTGTGCATATTTTTTTATGCAAATGCCCTACCTCAAATTTTTATGTCTGTTGGCTGAAGTAAAATCTGTCTGAGAGGTAGATATCTTAAAAAATTAATTTCCTACAGTTGTAATTAAAGGAGGCATCTGCGTAGAAGTCAGAAGCCCTACTCATATCCTCACTGACAGGAAGGTTGCAGTGCACACTCAATCCTTATTAAACACAACAGAATACACACATCGTGAATGCTCTTCTCCTAAAGAAAACATCAACAGCCACATTCATCTTCTTAGATACAAGAGGATCCAAATGCAAGATGCAAATGCTTAAGAAACTATACAGTGAGTCAGTGGCAAAGACAGGAATAGAAGCATTTCCCTGCTCTTATTCCTATATTGGGCATGGTGGAGTGAAGTGTAAGCTTACTGGAGAGGGAGGAGAGACATGGGGAAAAACACAAGTCTGTGTGAAAACCAGTGTATGCAGTGAACTGAAAATGCTTTGATTTTAAGGCACATAGCTGTTTCTTGAATTAATCTTACTCAGGATTGAACAGGAAAGGTCTGAGTGACCTCTTGTGACTCCAGAAAACTGCAAGCTCATTCCACTAGTGAAAAAATAAACTTACCCAGAGAATATACATAAAACATACTGCAATGTATATAATGTCTTGATATTGTACAGTTTTAAACAGTCACTGTATTCAAAATCTCTCTCTCCCCATGAAGAGAAAGAAGGAGGCCTAAATAGACAGACCTATATAAGAAATTAAAATCAGTTTCCTTCTCCCTCCCCTTTCCTACTCCTTATCTTACTTCCTCCTTGTAAAACTATCTCATCCTAGACTCAGTGCTCACATATTTATAGCATGTTATGAATAAGAGAAGATCTGATTCAGAACATAAAATTAAGCCTTTAATGGTTTTCTATGATTGCGTTTGGAGCTCATGCCTCTGCCTAGGTCTCTGATGCACTGGCTGAGCAACTGAAACAGGTTAAAACTCAGTGCTCAACAGTACTGTATTTCAACCCAAACCTCAAGGTGCCTCCTGGAAGGGCACCACAGTTCTCATGTCCTGTGCTGTCATGCTGGAGTTGGCTGAGGAGAAAGAGCCTCCAGCAGGTTAATGGCAGGGTCCACACTGTGCTTGCAGCTGTGTGCAGACTAATGCCAAGTCTCACTGACACTACATGGTCTCATAAAGAGGATGACTGTAGATTTCAGCCACATTTGTTCAATGCAAATCATTACTGTTTTGTCAAACAAATGTAATACCAGCAGCGGTTAATTAAATAGTTCATTTAATTTTGAAATCTTGTTCAAATGGGGGAGCACTATTATAACCAAGTTCAAGAACTGATATAATTTTATGGAATGAGATCATACTGTGTAAAGATGTGTTGAGGTACTGGTAAAATGATGCTTTGAACAAGCTGCCTTCCTTGCAGTCTGAAAAACCATTGCCAGTATGTGAATCAAACTAAACTGGGGTTTGTAATTGCCTTTACAGCTACTTTTGGGGGCTGATTTTAAATGTATTGGAACAAAATGTCATTGAAGGCGATAACATTACATCTGAAGCCAATATGATTACCCGTTTATCCATTTCTGTATAGCTAAGGAATCTAACCAATTTTGTACATGTGTGTGTGTACACTTATCATCTTGAATTTATATATTAATGCTTTCAATGCCTTGTGAGTTTTGTGAGCTTGATCATAGACTGCTAATTAATTTGTACAGTGAATCCAGCATTTACTGAAAAATAAATGTTCTTTTATTACAGAGATATGGATTTGCTGTATGAGTGAATTGGAAGCCACTAAATAATTAATTGTTTCAAAAACTATCTAGGAAAGTTAAAGAAAGAATAACTAAATCAACAGCTAAGTATCAAAAGCATGTTTAGTGTGTTCAGGCTTAACAGAAATAATTTGAATTTGTGATGTCCAGTACAGAGTCCACTGTAGCTCTTCACATCATTTGAAGTTAATGTTCTTACTATGATTTTACTATGAGTTGCTTAGTAAATCAACTCCTGAGTTTGGAATAGCTTTAAAATTAAATAAGGGAGAACAAAAGTGATGTAATATCTAACTAAATTACTTTTCTGTAAAAAATGCCTGGCTTCTCTCCCATTATAAAGGCCAGAGCTATCAAATTCACTTTTTGGAAAGGCCTTCCAAGCATCACTATATGATAGCTTATGAATACCAGTCTGTGGGAATGCTGTGACACTTTCATATGATGCAATTTGGAAGACAGTCCCTATTTGCAATTGGGATTTCCTTGTAAAGACATTAGGAGTACATGAACTACAGATAAATGGCTTTTTTGCAATACTTGCTGGTATCACAGTGCAATGGGTACCCAGCAGTGAAGATACTACCTCTTGCGTATTTGGACCACTAAGCAGCTAAACAGATTTCCTTAAGAGATAGAGAGGTTTCATATTTTATTTTATCAATCTGTCATGAAGGATAATATTTAAGAAATTTTAAATTTAAAGAACAATTGACATAAATTCTATTTTCTTGTTATTTTGGCAAAATCAAGATAGTATTTTATACCAGCTGAGCAAGAGGTAATGGCTCTTTGCAGAAACTTTGCCAATGAGATCCTTTCCTACCATAATCAGTAACGTAGTTTGTTGTAGTGTGGTTGACATATTGATGGGGTGCAGGGTCTCTGCTTCATGTGTGTATTTGGTTTATATAATCTAAACAGAGTGCTTCTGTGTTCTAGTGACTGCCTCACTCAAGCTTTGCCTGAATTGAGCTGTAGGTGTGTGCTGCAGCATGCTCCAACACCATCATCCAAACCGGGAATGTCATTAGAGTATGGCTCTCTTCCTGCTGTTGTACCCGAGTTTCCTTCCTGTGGCTGCCAGCATGCTCAGGGAGTGGCAGGATTAGCACACACTGGAGTCTCCCGCTGCAACTCATTCAGGCCATATTTAGGCTGCATACACAAGAGTATTTGGACCTAAAAGTTTGGGTGTTTTCAGAGTTTCCTCAGCCTAGAGATCATGGGTGTTAATTAAGGACCTGATACCGGCTTCTAGCAAATACTGAGGCATTTGGATGAGACTACACTGAGCTATCCTTTTCAATCCAATGTCTTGAGTAAATCCCTTATCGAGTGACTGAAGACAGCACTGTAGAGTTCTAATTTAAACACAAGTGCACTATTTTGACCTGTCAGGTCTCACACAAAAGCTGCGTGTTTTTGCTAATGGCCTAACCACTTCATCTGTAAGTGCTTTCAGAGTTCTTGGGTATGCCACCTGGACATGATGACTCTTAGGCTTCTAAAATGATAGGATTGCTCAGATTTATCTTATAGCTACTCTTCAGACTGAGAGAATGCTTCATTTTCACTACTAAAGATTAGGTCAAGGGTAGTTGTCTTCCCATCATGTTCTCC